TAAGTTTTATTTGTATTGATCACTTTAAGTGCGCTTAAGTGTTTTGTTTTTTAAGCATTTTCCTTTCTTTGATAGGCAATTGTATGAGTTCTTTGTTTACCAGTTATTTGATTGTGATTTCTGTTTTTTTTTTCTTTTAGATCTGATGAATACGAGAAGTATTCGAAACGTTATGCATTTTAAAGTAAAGAATCTGAAACAAGATGTTCAGTATATCCCTGGTTTTCCTATTCATCTTAAATAAATAAATATATATATGTCGTACCTAGTAGCCAGAACGCACTTCTCAGCCTACTATGCAAGGCCCGATTTGCCTAATAAGCCAAGTTTTCATGAATTAATTGTTTTTCGACTACCTAACCTACCTAACCTAACCTAACCTAACTTTTTCGGCTACCTAACCTAACCTAACCTATAAAGATAGGTTAGGTTAGGTTAGGTAGGGTTGGTTAGGTTCGGTCATATATCTACGTTAATTTTAACTCCAATAAAAAAAATTGACCTCATACATAATGAAATGGGTAGCTTTATCCTTTCATAAGAAAAAAAATTAGAAAAAATATATTAATTCAGGAAAACTTGGCTTATTAGGCAAATCGGGCCTTGAATAGTAGGCCAAAAAGTGAGTTCTGGCTACTAGGTACGACATATATATATATATATATATATATATATATATATATATATATATATATATATATATATATTTATATATATATATATATATATATATTTATATATATATATATATGTCGTACCTAGTAGCCAGAACGCACTTCTATGCCTACTATGCAAGGCCCGATTTGCCTAATAAGCCAAGTTTTCATGAAATAATATATTTTCTCTATTTTTTTCTTATGAAATGATAAAGCTACCCATTTCATTATGTATGAGGTCAATTTTTTTATTGGAGTTAAAATTAACGTAGATATACGACCGAACCTATCCAACCCTACCTAACCTAACCTAACCTATCTTTATAGGTTAGGTTAGGTTAGGTAGCCGAAAAAGTTAGGTTAGGTTAGGTTAGGTAGGTTAGGTAGTCGAAAAACAATTAATTCATGAAAACTTGGCTTATTAGGCAAATCGGGCCTTGCATAGTAGGCATAGAAGTGCGTTCTGGCTATTAGGTACGACATATATATATATATATATATATATATATATATATATATATATATATATATATATATATATATATATATATATATATATGTCGTACCTAGTAGCCAGAACTCACTTCTCAGCCTACTATGCAAGGCCCGATTTGCCTAATAAGCCAAGTTTTTATGAATTAATTGTTTTTCGACTACCTAACCTACCTAACCTAACCTAACCTAACTTTTTCGGCTACATAACCCAACCTAACCTGTAGAGATAGGTTAGGTTAGGTTAGGTAGGGTTGGTTAGGTTCGGTCATATATCTACGTTAATTTTAACTCCACTTAAAAAAATTGACCTCATACATAATGAAATGGGTAGCTTTATGATTCCATAAGAAAAAATTTAGAGAAAATATATTAATTGAGGAAAACTTGGCTTATTAGGCAAATCGGGCCATGCATAGTAGGCTGAGAAGTGCGTTCTGGCTACTAGGTACGACATATATATATATATATATATATATATATATATATATATATATATATATATATATATATATATATATATATATATATATATATATATTTAGGTGTACCAGCACTGGTTTAATTAAAGGGACCCACATCCTCAAAGAAGAAAATAAATAGTGTTCAGAGACGACCTTGTGGATTCTCACTGAATTCTTTAATCTTTTCCTCTCCTACCACCCCTGTTATTTCTTTTTTTTTTTATTTGATTTTATTGCAATGCTATAGTTTACAGAAAACACAAACTTATATAACAATATATCACTCAGTGTTCGAAGACCTCGTCCAGCTCCTCGGGGGTCGGGTGCGTACCCAAGATACAGCACGCATTTCCCCTCTGAACAGCGACACTGAGGCGCTGGAACATGAAACTGGCCGCTCTTGGGTTTCAAGTCTTCCCAATGAGTTCCTCGCCCAGCTCCTTCAGGAACTTAAGTGCACATTTACCCCAGGCGCCCAGAGTCTCGGAGCCTATCGGCACGAACCTTTAACAACGTTCCAGGTCCCTGTACTTGTTAGTTTTCTGGGTCTCCCTGAAGGTGGCCGCCCCGCCTCCCTCAGCTGTGCTGTAAGGTAGATAGGTATCAGCCAATGTAGATGCACACGTGTAGTCCCACACGACCTGTTTACCTTCCCTCCTCGGCTGGCTGTTGTCAGGCTTGCACAACTGAGGTTCCCTTTGTGCTGGGCACCCAGCTGAAGCCAAACTTCTCTTGATGATGTCACTGACTGCTTCATGTCTGGCAATCTTTCCCTGTGTCTTATGACAGATGAGACCATGGCTGCCGTATTGGTCTGCCCGTGCATGGCTGCAAATAGACCGGTGTTCGGTGGAGATAGGGGCGGCAAGGCGCAGAGCAACACCAATACTTAGGGTCCGATGGTCCAGGCGGGTACCCAAGGCGGAATTAGGGACTGCCAACAGGAAGTCCCCGGCATGGGGCGCTTGCACAGCTAGAAGACACGAAGACGCTAGAAGAAGAGGCAGCTTCCTGGAAGCTGCCTCCAGCAATGATGTGGCGATGTTCTCCACTATGGGGCTATCCCATTTGGACTGTTTGCAGTCATTTGGAAAAGTCGGTCGAGGATGAGAGTTGACAAGTGTCCCACTGACCGGCTCCTTCCACGAATTTGGGATCATGAATCCCAATGGAGTCTCTTAGGTATTCCGGTAGTATTTACTTAACTAATTCACCTGTTGCACTGGTCGAGGATAAGAATGCCGGCAATGCTGTGTCGCCTTGCGAATACCTATTCCCCCCGAGTCTAACTGGGAGCGTTGCTTGGTCCCATTGGTCATCTTGCAGGGAGAGGTTTAACACTTTCACGGTTATTGACCTTAGGAGTGTGTCATATTCTGTTAATTTTGGGCTGTCGAAGGAGGAAGCACACCCTAGGAAATAGGTCAGTCTGGGCAAAGCCAGGCACCTTGTGAGTAGGTACAAAGCAACGTGGGCGTCCAAAGCCCCTATTCTTCCCTCCATCCTCCTCAGGTCGTTCAGCTTTTCTTCGAGGACTACCTCAATGGTGCTTGAGCCCAGAGGTGCCCCTAGCAGCACACTGTCGGTGGGAGCGATCACTTGGGCTCCTGGCAATATGATTCGCACTGCATCTATGGTTGATTGGCTAGATGAGATGATTTCACAATTTAATGGGTTTAGGGTGAATCCTAACTCCTCTCCCTTAGATTTCACCAACTGTAGATCTTCTAGTAGGGACTCCTGTGTCCCTACCAGGGTGCCATCGTCCAGGAACCAGATGTTGAGTTCGCTGGTCAACCTGCTTGTGACCTCTTTAACAGCCATGCAAAAAAGAAAAGGGGCAAGTGAGTCTTCCTGCTGGACACCTTCTGCAGAAACAACTTCATGTTCCCCAAACAGCAGCGTTGATTCCCTACTGTACCCTGCTGAGACGAAGGGGAGTAGAGAAGGAAAGACGACAACAACACCAGCAAGGCTTGCCAGAGCGCAAAACGTTGCAGCCAGAGACACCTGTTCAGACTCAAACCGCCAAACTACATGTTGATCGCTACGGCTCCGCTGATTGGTCGCCGGTCTGGCTGCACCTGCACTCGCCCCCCCCCCCATACTACTTGATGTCTGGGGTCGCCACGACCTCAGACCTCAGAATATTCTGTGCTCTCGTTGTTACCACTCCTCCCGGCTAGACGTTAGCGTGTACTGAGGGAAGTGGTAGCTTAAAGCCAATATTCCAGCACCTCCCATTTAATTTTGTATTGCACTTCTTGTTATTTTGCCTTAACGTAACTTTTCATTGTGTCATTTAAGTATTCTTATTATTTTGATTGATTTTATTATAAGAATTTGTTTGTCCATTTTTTCATGTTTTGATTTATTTAACGTAATTAAAATTTCATTGTTAAAGATTACTTGTGTTTTGTGTGTCTTCTCCTTACCTTACCACAGACGAAGTTCCAGTTTTTCTATTTTTTTTATAACTGTGACGAGGCCATACCCCTAGCCTTAAACAGCCGAACACCAACGCGTTACCGTCACAGAAGTATATAAACATTATAGCTTGCATTAATCCAAACCAGTGTGCTAAAATTGATCTGGGTTAATCAGGACTCATAATAACTTGTTTAGTCAAAGGCAATGTTGGGTAATCAGTGCCAAGAATTATACTAGACGCATCTCAACAAAGTATACTAATACAATAATAATAATGATACTAGAGGCCAAAGAAGAGCATCAAGGAACTCTGGTTGTTCTGGAAATGCATCAAAATATATACGTACTGGTGAGAAGAGTACCCAGGAAGGTCAGGTCATCATAGTGCCCACCTCTGGAGTGAGGACATAATTGACTTATCAGATCACAACACCATACAAGGTCGGGGTCGTCATCTGTGAGGTCACGGTGGATGGTCAGGAAAGCCGATCACCTTCGTATGGGAGAGAAGACAGGGCGGCCACATCCATGCTGGTCGGAGCTTCCAGGTAATACCTGAAGACGTGCACTACTGTACATTCACTGCCCAAGCTACTGAGTTTCTGCGATAGAACAAGAAGGCGATGGCATCTTTACTGCTGATTTTATAGCATGGAATTTAAGATGTTGAAGAGAGCTTTAGTGAAAGGTTTCTTTAGCGACATGAGTCCTTTAGGGACATGTGTTCTTCAGCGACATGTGTTCTTCAACTACACGTTGTAACACCATAAATGGTTGTATTTAATATTTCAGCTAGGAGCCACACTCACATTCACAACGAGTGGCTTTCTATTGTAACCACTTAGACCCTCGCATCTTGGAATATATTTATATGGCCAAAATGAGACTAGAGTTCAACAGGTCTGGGGTCTTGTCTAAATAATTCACTCGCTAATTATCGTCCATTCAAGTATGTGGTTAAGTCCATTAACACTTTATTATCACATCCTTCGGTATAGCAAGGACGTTCTTCCCCGCCCTTTGGCACGGGAAACAGGCCTTGCAATGTCTCCTCACAACAGCGTCCATTCCCAGCCAATAAAAATGCTCCCTCATCCGGCTTAGCGTCATGGTCCATCCCAAGTGACCTGCGGGATCCAAAGAGGGCGCAAGCTCTAGCGTCTTGTATCATATCATATTAAATAAATATTCAGATATATCATATCAACCGGCACCCGTCTCACACCGCAGGCCCTCCGAATTGCTGTGGCTCTCCGGCTCGCTGCCCCAATCCACACCAAATACAGGTGTATTTGTGGTGAGGCAGTGGCCGACAGGTACGGACGGCATGGCCTTCTCTGCCAAAGGACAGGAGGATGGCATGCAAGACACGGCGAGGTTAATGACATTATTAAAAGAATCCTTACTACAGCCGGTTGTCCAGCAGAGAAAGAGAGAGAGCCCCGTTACCTAATGTCCCGCAACTCTGATGAGCCTGTCGGTCGCCCAGATGGGATCACAGTGAACCCCTGGAAGAATGGTAGCGTTGAGGAGGGATGGGGATCAAGTTGTCAGCTCTGGGGAAATTATTTATTGCCCTAGTGACTGATGAGGCTAGTGACTTGCCTCCTCTTGCAGGTACGCCTAAGCAAATATTGCCAAACAGGAGCAAATTATGCCATATACCCCCTTGTGCTCAAATGTCGTATATATGTATAATTGTTCCAGCTGTAATGCTGGATATATCGGGAGTTCCATTCGGAACTTTAAGATTAGGATACTTGAGCACCGGGGATTATCTTTTAGGACTGGATTACCATTGTCTAAACCAGCATTTTCGGAGATTAGAAACCATTGTTATGAGTTTGATCATTCTCTGCTGGAATCTGATTTTAAAATTCTGGACACTTGTATAAATGGCCAGTCAGATTTGAGAGTAATGGAATCCTTATATATAAAGGAGCTGCGGCCTCTGTTAAATAGCAACCTTTCAGCTGTTCAATTGTACACTGTATAGTGCACAGTAGGCCCTGTAATTTGATTTATAGTTCATTCTGGTAGTTTAATTGTATTATAATTTTGTTTAGTTTACCATGTCTTTGCCCTTTCTTACTTATTTCAAGTCTTGACATTGTACATTATTATAATCTTTTATTTAGGATATATAATACATTTTTTGGTATTTAGTTTTTTGAATTTTTGAGTTTTTATAAGTTTTTGGTTAGTACTTTATAATTGTCGTTTATTCTGTTTGTATTTTATATACATTTTTTGAAGATTTGTAGTCATTATATGAATATTTGTTATAGTGTTTAGTATCTATGTGTTGGGTATCAAGTTTCACTTCTGATCGCTTCACGTAAGTTTAATAGAATATTTTGTTTTAGTAGTTATAAAATTCATCTTGTAGTATAATGGATTTTAAATTAGGTTTTATATATGTGACAGTTAATAAGTTTTATTTGTATTGATCACTTTAAGTGCGCTTAAGTGTTTTGTTTTTTAAGCATTTTCCTTTCTTTGATAGGCAATTATATTCAGTATGAGTTCTTTGTTTACCAGTTATTTGATTGTGATTTCTGTTTTTTCTTTTAGATCTGATGATGAATACGAGAAGTATTCGAAACGTTATGCATTTTAAAGTAAAGAATCTGAAACAAGATGTTCAGTATATCCCTGGTTTTCCTATTCATGTTAAAATATATATATATATATGTCGTACCTAGTAGCCAGAACGCACTTCTCAGCCTACTATGCTAGGCCCGATTTGCCTAATAAGCCAAGTTTTCATGAATTAATTGTTTTTCGACTACCTAACCTACCTAACCTAACCTAACCTAACTTTTTCGGCTACCTAACCTAACCTAACCTATAAAGATAGGTTAGGTTAGGTTAGGTAGGGTTGGTTAGGTTCGGTCATATATCTACGTTAATTTTAACTCCAATAAAAAAAATTGACCTCATACATAATGAAATGGGTAGCTTTATCCTTTCATAAGAAAAAAAATTAGAAAAAATATATTAATTCAGGAAAACTTGGCTTATTAGGCAAATCGGGCCTTGAATAGTAGGCCAAAAAGTGAGTTCTGGCTACTAGGTACGACATATATATATATATATATATATATATATATATATATATATATATATATATATATATATATATATATATATATATATATATATATATATTTATATATATATATATATGTCGTACCTAGTAGCCAGAACGCACTTCTATGCCTACTATGCAAGGCCCGATTTGCCTAATAAGCCAAGTTTTCATGAAATAATATATTTTCTCTATTTTTTTCTTATGAAATGATAAAGCTACCCATTTCATTATGTATGAGGTCAATTTTTTTATTGGAGTTAAAATTAACGTAGATATACGACCGAACCTATCCAACCCTACCTAACCTAACCTAACCTATCTTTATAGGTTAGGTTAGGTTAGGTAGCCGAAAAAGTTAGGTTAGGTTAGGTTAGGTAGGTTAGGTAGTCGAAAAACAATTAATTCATGAAAACTTGGCTTATTAGGCAAATCGGGCCTTGCATAGTAGGCATAGAAGTGCGTTCTGGCTATTAGGTACGACATATATATATATATATATATATATATATATATATATATATATATATATATATATATATATATATATATATATATATATATGTCGTACCTAGTAGCCAGAACTCACTTCTCAGCCTACTATGCAAGGCCCGATTTGCCTAATAAGCCAAGTTTTTATGAATTAATTGTTTTTCGACTACCTAACCTACCTAACCTAACCTAACCTAACTTTTTCGGCTACATAACCCAACCTAACCTGTAGAGATAGGTTAGGTTAGGTTAGGTAGGGTTGGTTAGGTTCGGTCATATATCTACGTTAATTTTAACTCCACTTAAAAAAAATTGACCTCATACATAATGAAATGGGTAGCTTTATGATTCCATAAGAAAAAATTTAGAGAAAATATATTAATTGAGGAAAACTTGGCTTATTAGGCAAATCGGGCCATGCATAGTAGGCTGAGAAGTGCGTTCTGGCTACTAGGTACGACATATATATATATATATATATATATATATATATATATATATATATATATATATATATATATATATATATATATATATATATATATATTTAGGTGTACCAGCACTGGTTTAATTAAAGGGACCCACATCCTCAAAGAAGAAAATAAATAGTGTTCAGAGACGACCTTGTGGATTCTCACTGAATTCTTTAATCTTTTCCTCTCCTACCACCCCTGTTATTTCTTTTTTTTTTATTTGATTTTATTGCAATGCTATAGTTTACAGAAAACACAAACTTATATAACAATATATCACTCAGTGTTCGAAGACCTCGTCCAGCTCCTCGGGGGTCGGGTGCGTACCCAAGATACAGCACGCATTTCCCCTCTGAACAGCGACACTGAGGCGCTGGAACATGAAACTGGCCGCTCTTGGGTTTCAAGTCTTCCCAATGAGTTCCACGCCCAGCTCCTTCAGGAACTTAAGTGCACATTTACCCCAGGCGCCCAGAGTCTCGGAGCCTATCGGCACGAACCTTTAACAACGTTCCAGGTCCCTGTACTTGTTAGTTTTCTGGGTCTCCCTGAAGGTGGCCGCCCCGCCTCCCTCAGCTGTGCTGTAAGGTAGATAGGTATCAGCCAATGTAGATGCACACGTGTAGTCCCACACGACCTGTTTACCTTCCCTCCTCGGCTGGCTGTTGTCAGGCTTGCACAACTGAGGTTCCCTTTGTGCTGGGCACCCAGCTGAAGCCAAACTTCTCTTGATGATGTCATTGACTGCTTCATGTCTGGCAATCTTTCCCTGTGTCTTACGACAGATGAGACCATGGCTGCCGTATTGGTCTGCCCGTGCATGGCCGCAAATACACCGGTGCTCGGTGGAGATAGGGGCGGCAAGGCGCAGAGCAACACCAATACTTAGGCAGGTGCCCAAGGCGGAATTAGGGACTGCCAACAGGAAGTCCCCGGCATGGGGCGCTTGCACAGCTAGAAGACGAGCTTTGTCCTTCCTGGAAGCTACCTCCAGCAATGATGTGGCGATGTTCTCCACTATGGGGCTATCCCATTTGGACTGTTTGCAGTCATTTGGAAAAGTCGGTCGAGGATGAGAGTTGACAAGAGTGTCCCACTGACCGGCTCCTTCCACGAATTTGGGATCATGAATCCCAATGGAGTCTCTTAGGTATTCCGGTAGTATTTACTTAACTAATTCACCTGTTGCACTGGTCGAGGATAAGAATGCCGGCAATGCTGTGTCGCCTTGCGAATACCTATACCCCCGAGTCTAACTGGGAGCGTTGCTTGGTCCCATTGGTCATCTTGCAGGGAGAGGTTTAACACTTTCACGGTTATTGACCTTAGGAGTGTGTCATATTCTGTTAATTTTGGGCTGTCGAAGGAGGAAGCACACCTTAGGAAATAGGTCAGTCTGGGCAAAGCCAGGCACCTTGTGAGTAGGTACAAAGCAACGTGGGCGTCCAAAGCCCCTATTCTTCCCTCCATCCTCCTCAGGTCGTTCAGCTTTTCTTCGAGGACTACCTCAATGGCGCTCGAGCCCAGAGGTGTCCGTAGCAGCACACTGTCGGTGGGAGCGATCACTTGGGCTCCTGGCAATATGATTCGCACTGCATCTATGGTTGATTGGCTAGATGAGATGATTTCACAATTTAATGGGTTTAGGGTGAATCCTAACTCCTCTCCCTTAGATTTCACCAACTGTAGATCTTCTAGTAGGGACTCCTGTGTCCCTACCAGGGTGCCATCGTCCAGGAACCAGATGTTGAGTTCGCTGGTCAACCTGCTTGTGACCTCTTTAACAGCCATGCAAAAAAGAAAAGGGGCAAGTGAGTCTTCCTGCTGGACACCTTCTGCAGAAACAACTTCATGTTCCCCAAACAGCAGCGTTGATTCCCTACTGTACCCTGCTGAGACGAAGGGGAGTAGAGAAGGAAAGCTTGTTCGAACTGCTTCCAGTACCACATCCCTTTTTACCTGGTTGAAGGCATTTTTAAAGTCTAATTTAATTAATGCCTTATTTTCTGGGAGGTGCTTGATATAGACTCGTGCTGCATGAGCTGCTGCTTCACAGCCATGGGGGACACCAAAACCTAGTTGATGGGGTCGAAGCATCGTCGCAGCGTCTATGCTAATTTTTCTGACAGCTGCCCTAGTAACAAGGCGCCGAAGTGTGTTACCCACGGCAATGGGTCTGACTCCACCATCTTTCTTCTTGAGGGCACAAAGGGTTTAATTATATCTGGGATCAACCCAGAGAGGCAGTCGTTGACAAACTTCGTGACCTCTGACAATAGTGTCTCGGCAACTTCTCCGAGAACTGGGTTTACCATCACCTTGAGGTGCTGAGGTCTTCCTCCAGTGTATCCCCCTGTCGAGCCTGGCGAAAATAACATGATTGCTTTGTATACCTCTGACGCTTGGAGGAATAGAGGTCCCATGTCTGGGACATTTGTGTCCTGAGCAGTGGGTTCCCACGGTACTCTAGGAGGGTGCTTCTCTCACAGCGAGTTGGCGGTAGCGGTATTTCTAGGGACGATTGTGTCTTCGCTGGTAAGTAACCTAATTGCCCCTACTATGTTGCTCTCTTCAATTTTTTTGGTCACTTGTGTTCCTAGTTTAAAATTGTCATTGGAACTCTTGGGTCTGCCACGACGGTTTTTGCGTTGAGGAGGGATGGGGATCAAGTTGTCAGCTCTGGGGGAAATTATTTATTGCCCTAGTGACTGATGAGGCTAGTGACTTGCCTCCTCTTGCAGGTACGCCTAAGCAAATATTGCCAAACAGGAGCAAATTATGCCATGGTTTGATGGTGGCTGCAGCATTAAGATTTGCAGACCGTTCATTTACTTTCCTTAAAACGTCTGTATATTTCCCTGCTGCAAATGGGCGCGCTGCTTTAGGAATGTGGGGAAGAGTTCTGGTGGTGGATGCTTTGATGACCCCAGGAGGTCATCTGATGACATGATATATATATATATATATATATATATATATATATATATATATATATATATCATATATATATATATATATATATATATATATATATATATATATATATATATATATATATATATATATATATATATATATATATATATATATATATATATATATATATATATATATATTATTAAATATGACCGAAAAAGTAAGATTAATAATTCTAACACGAATTTTCTCAATCTTTCGTACATTTCTTTTCACTGTTGGAGGTAATTCAAAAATCAATTCTCCAAAATTCATTTTTATTTCTAGTCTGACGCGACACGAGCGCGTTTCGTAAAACTTATTACATTTTCAAAGACTTTAGTTTACAAATACACAACTGAATAGAACTTACACATCTCCGATTTTGTTCATATCTACATTTGAGTGAGGTGGATGGGGTGAGGTGGCATTAATAGGGTATTAATTTCATCAACACAAGACAGAACAAGAGGTGGCATTAATAGGGTATTAATTTCATCAACACAAGACAGAACACGAAACAATGGGTATTGAAATGGAAGTGATTGTATAAAGCCTATTGGTCCATATTTCTTGATGCTTCTATATTGGAGCGGAGTCTTGAGGTGGGTAGAATATAGTTGTGCATTAATTGGCTGTTGATTGCTGGTGTTGACTTCTTAATGTGTAGTGCCTCGCAAACGTCAAGCCGCCTGCTATCGCTGTATCTATCGATGATTTCTGTGTTGTTTACTAGGATTTCTCTGGCGATGGTTTGGTTGTGGGAAGAGATTATATGTTCCTTAATGGAGCCCTGTTGTTTATGCATCGTTAAACGCCTAGAAAGAGACGTTGTTGTCTTGCCTATATACTGGGTTTTTTGGAGCTTACAGTCCCCAAGTGGGCATTTGAAGGCATAGACGACGTTGGTCTCTTTTAAAGCGTTCTGCTTTGTGTCTGGAGAGTTTCTCATGAGTAGGCTGGCCGTTTTTCTGGTTTTATAGTAAATCGTCAGTTGTATCCTCTGATTTTTGTCTGTAGGGATAAGGTTTCTATTAACAATCTTTCAGGACCCTTTCCTCTGTTTTATGAGCTGTGGAAAAGAAGTTCCTGTAAAATAGTCTAATAGGGGGTATAGGTGTTGTGTTAGTTGTCTCTTCAGAGGTTGCATGGCGTTTCACTTTCCTTCTTATGATGTCTTCGACAAAACCATTGGAGAAGCCGTTGTTGACTAGGACCTGCCTTACCCTACAGAGTTCTTCGTCGACTTGCTTCCATTCTGAGCTGTGGCTTAGAGCACGGTCGACATATGCGTTAACAACACTCCTCTTGTACCTGTCTGGGCAGTCGCTGTTGGCATTTAGGCACATTCCTATGCTCGTTTCCTTAGTGTAGACTGCAGTGTGGAAACCTCCGCTCTTTTCCATGACTGTTACATCTAGAAAGGGCAGCTTCCCATCCTTTTCCATCTCGTAAGTGAAACGCAGCACGGAACTCTGCTCAAATGCCTCCTTCAGCTCCTGCAGATGTCTGACATCAGGTACCTGTGTAAAAATGTCGTCAACATAATTGCAGTATATGGCCGGTTTCAAGTTCATGTCGACTAAGACTTTTTGCTCGATGGTACCCATGTAGAAGTTTGCAAACAGGACACCTAGGGGAGAACCCATGGCGACCCCATCTACTTGCTTATACATGTGCCCATCCGGGCTCAAGAAGGGTGCCTCTTTAATACAAGCTTGGAGTAGTTTCCTTAGAATATTTTCGGGTATGTCAAGAGGAGTACAGGCTGGATCACGATACACTCTGTCGGCTATCATCCCGATTGTCTCGTCCACAGGTACGTTGGTAAACAGCGATTCTACGTCCAACGAGGCTCTTATCCCTGTGGCCCGTGCGCCCCGCAGTAAGTCAACAAAATCCTTTGGAGACTTCAGGCTGAAGGCGCAAGGAACATAAGGAGTCAGCAGGCCGTTGAGTCGCTTCGCCAGTCTGTACGTGGGTGTGGGTATCTGGCTAATGATTGGCCGAAGTGGGTTTCCAGGCTTGTGTGTCTTGACATTTCCATACGCATATCCAGGTTTATATTCCCCAATGATCTTTGGCAGGTGGAGTCCGGATTTCTTGGCGTTCACAGTTTCGATCAGTTTGTTGGCCTTTGCTTTGACCTCAAGAAATATGGACCAATAGGCTTTATACAATCACTTCCACTTCAATACCCATTGTTTCGTGTTCTGTCTTGTGTTGATGAAATTAATACCCTATTAATGCCACCTCTTGTTCTGTCTTGTGTTGATGAAATTAATACCCTATTAATGCCACCTCACCCCATCCACCTCACTCAAATGTAGATATAAACAAAATCGGAGATGTGTAAGTTCTATTCAGTTATGTATTTGTAAACTAAAGTCTTTGAAAATGTAATAAGTTTTACGAAACGCGCTCGTGTCGCGTCAGACTAGAAATAAAAATGAATTTTGGAGAATTGATTTTTGAATTACCTCCAACAGTGAAAAGAAATGTACGAAAGATTGAGAAAATTCGTGTTAGAATTATTAATCTTATATATAAATATATATATATATATATATATATAAATATATAATATATATATATATATATATATATATATATTATATATATATATATATAAATATATATGTAATATAATATATACTATATATATATAATATATATATAACATATATATAGGAAAAATATTATAAATATGAACCTATATAATAATATATATATATTACTATATATATCGCTCATAATCTATAATCTTTATTCCCTCAAAACTCCATATACATATATATTGAGCCCCGGTAGTACAGTCGGCTTCGTTCTCGACTCACAATCGGGAATTCCAGGTTCAAATCCTTGGCACGACATAAATGGTTGGACCACGTTACCTATCACCTGATGCCTCTGTTCCCCTAGCAGTAAATAGGTCCCCGGGAGTTAGTCAACTGTTGTGGGGTTGCATCCTGGGGAGGATCAGTACCTTGAAGGGGGGGAACCTCTGTATAAGCCTAACATGTATAATACACACAGAGATCACACTAACGTGATGCATCAAATGAACAAATCCACAAGACATAGCTCGGGTGCAGGGGGGAGTTGTGTAAAACCCTGGTTTATGCCTCGGAGAGGCTACGGGATCCAGTAAGTTCAGTAGAACTTCGGTTTCAACATATTTAACCCTGTCATAGCTCAGTCGATTAAGGCAGTGTCTGGGATGCTCCCGGACGCAGGTTCGAATCCTCGTCACGGCCCTTGTGGATTTGTTCATGTATAATACACTAGCTATCTGTACCTCGACACAAATAATGATTTAACTAATTATTCGGCAGCACTAGGCTGTTGAATGAGGCTACTTATAATACAACTCACACTTAAACTCACTTTAACAACAGCTATAAACTGTTTTAGAAAAGATTATATCAACTGTTCGGTGTTTGATTTGTTGACATGAGGTTCTGTTAAACCATTCATCAAAGAACCTTGTACAGTACTTGGGTGATTAGTAACATAAATATACAACAAACTACTACAAAGAATATAGAACAACTCAACGTACCTCTCTAAATTGGTGTCTTTCGTCTGCGTTTGTTGTAGTTTTATACGGAAGGTCTATAAGTTATAAGAGGAAAAAAATTATTGTGATGCATATATTTATATGTATATATGTATTTTTAATTTAATCCTGAAGACAGCATGTATCCAAACAATGATATATTAGGCATTACAAAATAATACTGATATAATGCGACACCGAAAACTATACAATAATAAACAATACAATCCTTATCCACCATCAGATATGTGACCAACGTGAAACTGCCTCTTGAGAGACCTCTGATACAGCTTAATCTTAAAAAAAATCATATCTGTATAGCGATACGGTTATCTAGAATCTATTTTTTTCAGCAGGTAGCTGTTATTCTAAGGCATAGATATTGCTACCTGGCTAATTCACTGTGTGTACGTTCGATTCTATCTGTCAGTGATGTTGCCTCTTGAGACGGGGAGATTTCCGTTCTACCTCTTCCAGTGGGCAAGCCACCTTGCACTCCACGGAAGGACCTACCTGGTTGCTACCACTGGCACTTCTGACTCTACCTATGGTGATAGCGTGGTCACCCTTGAGTTTGTTGACCTCGGTCACTTCTCGTGGACTTTCGTGTTACTAAAATTAATATCCCCATACTGGAGTGCAGATTCCTATGGCATCACATCATCATCGTGGATCTGGCATGTAGTAGTCTCTAGTGGATGATCGCCACTCAATGATTGCTCACCAGCTTGGCACTGAGTACATCACCAGCCCAGCAGAACCTGTGCTGGATTCAAGGACATCACCGGGCCTCACGCACAAGAGGCCAAATTTAATCACTTAAGTCTTCCTTCATAATGTACCTCAGGTCTGCCTACAACCAGAATGATTCCAGATGGTCAAGGAAGTAAGTAATTATCAATAGAAGGCACCAAACCGGGAAGGCTGTGTAGCACCATCAAATGTACAGGATAATCAGAGGGCGCTAAATATCACCAAAAATGCCAATACGAGAACAAAAACGCATAAGGCGAACGATATCAAAAGTATCCGAGTCGCCAAGAATTCTATCGAGGGACAAGCGACCGCGGGGGATAGTCGGAAAACAAGACACACGCTCGTCCTGGAAGTCAGGACATTCAACAAGGATATGTACGACCGTAAGAGGGACAATGCAATTTGGACAATAAGGAACAGGGCGGCGCTCCATTAAGTGACCGTGAATTAAACAGGTTTGGCCAATACGTAACCTAGCCAGAGCCTTTTCCCACCGTCGGTTAAGGTGGTAGGAGGAAGGCTACTGGGACACACAACTCTTAAGAGTACGCAGTTTGTTACCAATAACAGAAGACCAACAACTCTGCCAGCGGGCAAAGATGGAGGCATGAATAACTGGGTAAAAGTTGGAATAAGGAATACCTTTATGGGAGATGGGACAAGTACGGATAGCGTCCTTAGCAGCAGCATCTGCACGCTCATTTAAAGAGACACCAACATGGCTGGGAACCCAGCAAAACGTAACCGACTTAAATTTACTGGAGATAAGAAACAGCCAATGTTGAATCTCGATGACCACTGGGTGGACCGGATTAAAGGACCCTAAAGCCATGAGGGCATTACGAGAGTCAACTACCACCATGAAGGAGGATTGACACCGGGAAAGCAGGAGACGAAGAGCATAGAGAATAGCATAGAGTTCTGCTGTGAAGATGCTAGCCTCTGGAGGAAGGTGACACATATAAGTGTAGTCAGGAAAAAAAACAGAGTAGCCCACACCGTCAGCAGAATTTGACCTGTCGGTGAAGATGGGAACGGAGTGGGAGTGAGAAGAAAAGTGCTCAAGGAAGAGGCGTTTCAGAACTGTAAGAGGGGGATAAAAGCTATTGTGATGCGGGTCAGAGAAGTACAAAATTTGGGAATGGGGACCCTCCACGGGGGCAAGGACGAAACAATACGAGAAACATTAGTAATACGAACCGAAAGAGAATCTTGTAAGCGAGACAAACGGACAGAAAGAGGAAGGTGGTGAAGAGGTACAGGATGGGTAAAAGTCAAAGCACGATAGAGGCGAGAGTGAGGATGCTATAAGGATCGCGCAAGATAGTGAAGACTGTAGCGATTACGGCGATCCTGGAGAGACAGAAAGCCAGTGTCAGCGTACAAGCTGAGGGTAGGAGTTGAACGAAAAGCACCAGAGCTGAGGCGCAACCCAGTATGGTGCAAAGGATCAAGACGGCAAAGAGTAGGAGAAGCAGAAGAGTATGCAGGGCAACCATAATCGAGCTTAGACAGGACGAGAGAGGAATGCAAATAGAGGAGCGTGCGCATATCCGCTCCCCAAGAAGTACGGGACAAAACCTTAAGTAGGTTAAGGGCCTTAGAACATTCAACACGAAGGTAAGAGACACGGGGCGACCAAGACAAATGAGTGTCAAAGAACAACCCCAAAAGCTTCGTGGAATCTTTGTACTCAAGGGGATGACCATAAAGTGACAAAGAGGGACGAAGAACAACCCGCTTCTGAGTAAAAATCATGGCACAAGTCTTAGTAGTAGAAAACTTGAAGTCATGATTGGTGGCCCAAGATGACACGGCATCAATCGCAAGTTGAAGCCGCCGTTGAAGGAGAGGCGAATCATCACCCCGACAGCAAAGAGTAAGATCGTCAACATAAAGAGCGGAGAAGATGTCAGAAGGAAGGGAGGAAAGAAGACCATTGAGGGCAACCAGAAAAAGAGTAGTACTCAGAACACTACCTTGGGGCACACCTTCATACTGCCGAAAAGAGGCAGAGAGAGTGGCACCAAGCCTGACTCAAAAGGTACAACGAGAGAGAAAGCTTTGAAGGAAGAGAGGGAGATTACCACGAAGGCCAAAAGAACGAAGTTGGGACAGAATATGGTATCTCCAAGTCGTGTCATAAGCCTTTTCCAAGTCAAAAAGGACAGCAACAACGGAGGTCTTCGCAGCAAAAGCAGTACGAATATAGACCTCCAAGTTCACCAGGACATTAGTCGTGCTGCGGCATTTGCGAAAACCAAATTGAGAAGGAGAGAGGTGGTGATGGTGTTCCAAGAACCACATCAGATGGACATTTACCATACGCTCAAACAGCTTGCAAACACAACTCGTGAGAGCAATAGGGCGGAAATCCTTAGGGGACGTACCGAGAGACCTTGGTTTCCGAATAGGGAGTACAACGGCATCGAGCCAGTCCTCAGGGACGGACGACGACTCCCAGACCTGGTTATACAGATTCAGTAAATACTGAGACGTGCACAGAGGGAGATGGCGAAGCATCTTATAATGAACGTCATCCGAGCCCGCCGCCATAGATCCGCAGAGGGCCAGGGCAGACTGAAGTTCAGAAAGAGAGAAAGGATCGTTATATTGAAGGCGGAGATGAGTGTGGAAATCTAAAGGATAAGATTCAAGAACAGGCTTACAAAGAAGGAAGGATTGAGGAAGATGAGAACCAGAGCTAACAGAAGAAAAGTGGGAACCCAGTTCAGCCGCAACCTTCACTGGATCCGCTACAAGAGTTCCACGGAGGTGGAGAACCGGCGAAACATCTGGAACGAACTTGCCCGCAATCTTGCGGATCTTCTTCCAGATCTGCGGTAGAGGAGTATCGGACGTAATGGTGGAAACATAAGATTTCCAACTCTAACGTTTAGCTGTACGGATGGTCCTACGGGCCACCGCACTTGCCTTCCAAAACAGAATAAAAGAATCAGCCGTCTGCCGGCGGCGGTATTTTTTCCAGGCTGCACGCTTACAGTGGACAGCCCGAGCACAGTCCGCATTCTACCAGGGAACACACTTCCGTGTGCCCCGGGAGGAAGAGCGAGGGATAGAGCAGAGGGCAGCGTTGAAGAATGTGTCAAAAAAAAGGAGGAGGTCGCGAGGATGAGGCAGAGAGAAGAGGTCAGAGAGAGTAGCAAGGAGGGTGAATAGGCACCAGTCAGCCTTGGCAAACTGCCACCTAGGGAAGGAAAGGGGAGGGTGGAAAGAGAAAAAGGAAACGAGGATGGGGAAATGATCACTGTTATGGAGGTCATCGAGAACCTGCCACGTGAAATCTAAGTAAAGGGACGACGAGCAGAGAGAAAAGATCAAGACAGGAAAGGGTGCGAGTTCGAGAGTCCACATGAGTGGGCTCACCAGAATTCAGAAGAGATAGAGAAGAAGCGAGGACAAACGGTTCAAGAAGACGGCCTCGGGTGTTTGTCAGAACATCACCCCAGAGGGAATGTCAACAGTTGAAATCACCCAAAAGGAGCACTGACTCTGGCAAGGAGACCAGGAGGTACTTAAGATAAGGAAGGGAAAGAGGGACATTCGGAGGGAGATAAACGGAACAGACTGTATACCATTTACCCACAAAAACACGGGCAGCAGAACAATGGATAGGTGACGGAAGAAGTAGGGGGACGAAGGGAATATCAGAACGAATTAAGAGAGCAGTAGAGTTATGGGCCCCAGCAAGAGCTGGGGGGGGGGGGGGGGAAGAAGAAGAAAGAATAACCACGAAAGTGACTAGGACGAGCACCAAGCATTGGTTCCTGGAGACAAACACAAAGTGGTGTAAACTGTGTAATGAGAAGTTGGAGTTCATCTGAAGTTGGCATAAAATCCACGCATATTCCACTGAAGAATAGACATTATCAAAGAGAAAGGACAGTAACAGAGAACAAGAAATAAATAAAGGTAAAGAGGAACACAGTTTATTAAAGAATCTCAAGATCAGGATCAGTGTCTGGATCAGGAGCAGGGTCGGCAAAATCAGGGTTAGGGGGCATGGGTAAACTTAGTAAGGAGAGAGGGAAGGGAGTGAGAGAACAGACCAGAGGCGGACTGACGGGGTCCAGAGGAAGAGGAGACAACTGAGAGGGGCAGGCAAGGACAGTTGGAGGAGGGGGGGGGGCAGAAATCAGGGAGTGCACCTCAGGAAGGGCAGCAACAGAGAGGGAATCGGGGGCGGAAGAAACCTCCATATCAGACACAGGGGGTTCGACCACTGAATTGGGAGGGGATGTAGTGACAGAGTAAGAGGGAGGGGGTGAGGAAGAAAGCGAAACCTTCTTACCCGCTGGAGAGGAGCCAGGCTTACGTTTCTGACTCGAATAGACAGGCGTTCAAGTAACAACGTACCGGGCGACAGACTCAATGGTCTCAGCAGGAGAAGAGGAACGAGAGCGAACAACACGAAGATTGCTGGGAGGATGATGGATATCAGCCTGGACAGACAGGTGGCGTGGAGGGTCAAGAGACTGGGGGGAGGGTCGGGAAGAAAGAGTGGGAGGAGATAGGGAAGAAAGAGTGGGAGGAGATAGGGAAGAAGACAAAGGAGATATGGTGGACTGGGTAGGAAGGGGGGAAACCCCAGATGGAGAACCGGGAGGGAGACTATCCAGGACAGGAGGCAAAGGAATAAGGGAGGAGGTGGTGGGTGTGGTCGGGTTTAAGGCCTGGAAACGGTTGTGAGACTGAGGGAGACGGGAAGGACGAGGAGAGGTAGAACGCAACACACGAGCGTAGGAGATGCCCGCAAAAGGGGTGAGACGACGAACTTGGCGTCTCGCTTCAGGAAAAGACAGACGAACACGGTGCTTCAAGTTGAGGACGGCTTTCTCGAGTTTGTAGTGCATACACGAGCGTGAGAAGGTAGGATGGGCTTCACCGCAATTGAGGCAGCGAGCCTGGGGAGAAGTGCACTCGGACTTAGAATGACTATTGTCCCCACACAAGGGGCACAGATACACAGTACTGGTGCATTTGAGGACACCGTACCCGAACTTCCAACACTTATTGCAAAGTCTAGGAGAGGGAATGTACTCCTGAACGGAGCATCTGGCACCAGCAAGAATAATAGAGGGCGGAAGGGCCCTACTATCAAAGGTGATTTTTACAACTCGAAGGGGCTGACAGCGACGACCACGAGGGGGTCGAGTAAACGTGTCCACCTGGAGGATAGAATGGCTTTGGGCTTCGAGGATATGTTTAATATCCTCATGGCAATCTTTGAGGTCCCGAACACCAGTTGCAACATGGTGTGGGAGGAGAACAGTGCCAAGACTGGCATTTAACTGAGCGTTTTTGGAGACCCGAACAGGGGTCTCTCCAATGCAGAACAAAGCGGCTAAGCAAGTAGCTGCATCATGAGAAGGAGCAGCGACAACAGGCGTACTATAACTGGTGGAGTTAAAAGTAACAGAGGCTTCTACTGAACCAAAAAGGTGTTTATGGAGGGAGAAATCGTCAGGAGTAGAATCCAGATGGTGGAGATCAAAGTATTTAGCCCACGTAGCGGGACCAAACAAGGCATTGTAAGTACTATTACGGGAAGGGATCATGCGAGTGCGGCCGTGGCGGGGACGGCGTTGAGAACCCCCCAGAGAGAGAGAGAGGGGGTAAAAGTCGCAGTAGTCACAAAGAGAGAAAGCCATGCCAGGGGACGAGGTGGTCACCACTGGAGGCTGGGGAGTCGACCCTACCGCAGAGGAGGGAGGGGAGCTGGGGGGAGTAGTCAGGTCGGCGGGGCCCAGTGCAGCGGGGGCTACAGGGCCTGGTCTTCCAACACAGTCCGACTCGGGGGCTTGATCGCCCACCCCACGAGCCTGGGAAGGAACAAGGGAAACATTGTCAGCCATGAAAACGAGGAAAAAACTTTCATTCACGAATGTACCCCCACACCTACCATGGAGCCACAATTAGAGGCAGGACACCCAACAAGAAACTATCGCTGATCTTGCCGGGGCCCCCAGGGGTGCGTCGTGAGTATACACCCCACAAACGCCACCTTAAGAACCGTGACTCCGTCGAGAGCGGGGTTCAGTGATGAAAGGAGGATTGACAATAAAAGGTTCCCCTCGCTCGCGACGTTAGGTACTACAGTTCTACGGGTGCAAGAATATGCCTCCTCAAACACCCGGGCGTCAAAATAGAAGAAGTCCAAAGGAATAATCAAAACAAGCAAAAGGTCGGCAGGAAACGACAAGCAGATAGGAGAAGAGGGGGGGAGAAAAACGAAACAGAAGGAATAGGAAAAGGCGTCCAGCAAAATTCGCGAGGACAGCAGCAGGACCACAAGGCTACAAAAGGACAGGGGACCGCCCTAAGGAGCACCACACTCCGGCAGCCGCCCACCAAGCCCCTCCACGGCAGCAACGAGCTGGACAGGGAGGGGAGATGGTCAAGGAAGAATCTAACAAGTTGTTAGCTGTGTGTGTTGTGAGACGTACTAATAGTTTCTGAGCCTTCCAACTGCCTACGGTTGCCAGGACAACCGCAGAAGATGTCTTTCCTTGTAGGAATACAGAGCCCTAATGTAAGGAAACTTTTGGACCAAAATCTGATCCCACACATTCAGGATTTCTTTAACGAACTGCAAGGAGCGAACACTTTCTCTAAAATATATTTAGTTTGAGCATTTTACCAAGTCTTGGTGTATCCTGCGTATGTCCCCAGAATAGCAAGTACTATATCTTTTGGCTAGTTTAAAATGTTTTTGATGCCATTTGGCCTCTGTCAAATAGTCCAGACATTCCAACATTTCATTGATCAAGTCATCAGAGACCTTTTCAAGTGCTGTGCCTACATTAATGCCTCGTCAGAGAGAGTCCTTCTACAGGTGAACATCGGCAACACCTTCTGCTACTCACTCACAGCTATGGACTCCAGATTAAGCAAGGTAAATACATTTTTTTAGGTGCCTGAACTCTACTTCCTGGGTCGCAAAGTACCTACTATTGATATCCTGTCATTGGTGAAGAAGAATGAGGCTCTCCAAGAGTTCTCACGACCCGCAACTCCTAAGAAGCTATTTGAATTCCAGGGTGTAGCGAGTGTTTATAAGATTTATCTAATACTTTTCCAACATCTCAAAACTTTCGCTTGGATTGCATGGGGTAGGCAGTCATGAAAGGCAACAAGACGCCGAGCAAGTGTTCGCTAATCTCTAGCAGCTAGTTGATCTAAACCTCCTTGCCAATCCAGTGTTCTATACACCAACAGCCTCTCTACCAACAACTCTTGACACTAATATGGCAGTAGTCTTACAATATGTTCATTAATGACATATTATATCCAATTACTTCCTCCATGATACACTTAACCTCAGTGGAGGCAAAATACAGTACGTTCCAAAGGGGAAGAATTAATTACTCAAAACTTCAGTCATTTTCTATAGGGACATTACTTTCAGCTCCTCGCCAACTACTCCCAACTGACTTAACGATTTGGTGGTCAAGGGCAGTTCCCAATCACTGTGAGTCACTGAACACTAGAGCAATATATCCCAATTCCTGACTTGGTAAGGTAACTATGAGAAAGCTCTAAGTTGATATAACTGTATAGTACTTATAAGGATATGAGAACAAGGAGCTGGGATATAAGGGAAACTGTATATACCGTCGCCACTGCCATTTCTCGACCTAGTTGGTGTGCCATCCTCCATGTGACGTCTCACATTTATTTTGCTGAGGTTACCAGAATGCTGTGGTATGAGCGCGTACCCCCAACACCTGTGAATTCTCCCTCAGCACTTTACCTCAGTGTTGTACCCTTGCTGAAGTCCGAGGATACTGTTACTTAAGACACTTCTCTCATTGGTGTCCTACAGCTGTACATACTAAAGACACATTTTTAGAGGAGCTTCACGGCTGTCCACTCCTTGGCTAACCTTGACATCCAGAATACGTCGGGCCTCCTGAACAAGTAGGTGGTATGGCCAGGAATCATCACTGATGTCCGCTTTTAATGTCAACAATCAAAGATACACACAACCACACAGATGCCGCTGCAGTATTTCCCGCGAATGTCTGTCAGACTTTAGATGGTTCATGAAGAGATCAGCGGCCCTCTTCCTCAACATGGAGGGCGCTTATACAAACTTCACCTGGACCCACCACGTCTCAAGATGAGACCAGAACATATGGTGGAGATGAGGACAGAGTTGGTAGTTCTTAGTTTCCTCACTGGTTCAGTCTCTGGGATTGGAGCTCCCACAGCAACGATTATCTCCGACCAAGGATTGTAATTCGGGTCACACTTATGTTAGAAACTGCAGCAGTTCCTGGGAGCCGCCCACAACCACACCACAGCTTACTGTCTTCAGTCTAACAAGATGGTTGAACAGTTACCTCCAACTGAAAGTGGTGTTGTTGCCACAACCAGACATAACTGTTTGAATTGCCAACCTTTGAACATCTGAAAATGGCGCCACTCCTACCCTCCGCCTGTCCAAAGTTTCTCCCACATTATGTTACCAATGAAAACAAGTCACAAGTCCATCCTCACTCCCACTGGAGCCTCTTGCAGAAGTAAACACTTTTGTATTTTACTACTGCTACCACTGTGACATGGGGGGGGGGGGTTTCCTGTACTACTACTGACACACGTGCGGACTCCTGAACCACCACGGTGACGGCACCTGCCATGTTAACAGGGAAAGCTGCAGATACAGTTCTGGCCCAACCTGTACTACCAACTATGCTGATGATCAACTCAGGAGACCAGTCAAGTACCTGCCTGCCACTCAACTAGTCACACGGACTGAAACCACACAGATATAAATGCAGTACAGATGTGCAAATTCTTCCCGTAGGACCGGGAGCCGGTCGGCCAAGCGGACAGCACGCTGCACTTGTGATCCTGTGGTCCGGGTTCGATCCCAGGCGCCGGCGAGAAACAATGGGCAGAGTTTCTTTCACCCTATGCCCCTGTTACCTAGCAATAAAATAGGTACCTGGGTGTTAGTCAGCTGTCACGGGCTGCTTCCTGGGGGTGGAGGCCTGGTCGAGGACTGGGCCGCAGGGACACTAAAACCCCGAAATCATCTCAAGATAACCTCAAGAAGGATCTCTGAGCGGCGTTGATTCAAGGTCGTCCCAAAGCACAGCTGTAAATCTGATGGCATTAGGAATTCAAAATACTAGGCTTTAATCAAATCTAAAATAATGTAACCATATTAGCATATATTTCATTTAATCTTTATAAAGCACTGCTATGTATTTAAGTCTTATTTAAGTATTTATTTATGCTCTGCTCTTATTTGTAAGTGTTCAATACTATACCACAAAGTAACACAGATTATGTGAAAGGTTTAGTTCAAAAGTTTGGCTAAGTATAAGACTGTACCTTTAGGACCACATATGAAGGGCAATGGATCGAACCACGGAAACATTTTGGCCGGAAATTTTCTCCTGATTATTTCTGAAAGCAAAAAAAATAAATAAATTGATAATAACCAGATATATTATGTTTTAGATTCAACAGAGCAGAAGTTGTTAAACACATGGGGGCAAAATTTCCCCGAAGCGACCATACGAGTCATAAATACTCATACTCCGTCTAAGTCAAACAAAAACAAGCAACACTTAGTGGACCAGCCAGAGGCTTAGTGCCCGCGCAGTGGACCAGCCAGAGGCTTAGTGCCCGCGCAGTGGACCAGCCAGAGGCTTAGTGCCCGCGCAGTGGACCAGCCAGAGGCTTAGTGCCCGCGCAGTGGACCAGCCAGAGGCTTAGTGCCCGCGCAGTGGACCAGCCAGAGGCTTAGTGCCCGCGCAGTGGACCAGCCAGAGGCTTAGTGCCCGCGCAGTGGACCAGCCAGAGGCTTAGTGCCCGCGCAGTGGACCAGCCAGAGGCTTAGTGCCCGCGCAGTGGACCAGCCAGAGGCTTAGTGCCCGCGCAGTGGACCAGCCAGAGGCTTAGTGCCCGCGCAGTGGACCAGCCAGAGGCTTAGTGCCCGCGCAGTGGACCAGCCAGAGGCTTAGTGCCCGCGCAGTGGACCAGCCAGAGGCTTAGTGCCCGCGCAGTGGACCAGCCAGAGGCTTAGTGCCCGCGCAGTGGACCAGCCAGAGGCTTAGTGCCCGCGCAGTGGACCAGCCAGAGGCTTAGTGCCCGCGCAGTGGACCAGCCAGAGGCTTAGTGCCCGCGCAGTGGACCAGCCAGAGGCTTAGTGCCCGCGCAGTGGACCAGCCAGAGGCTTAGTGCCCGCGCAGTGGACCAGCCAGAGGCTTAGTGCCCGCGCAGTGGACCAGCCAGAGGCTTAGTGCCCGCGCAGTGGACCAGCCAGAGGCTTAGTGCCCGCGCAGTGGACCAGCCAGAGGCTTAGTGCCCGCGCAGTGGACCAGCCAGAGGCTTAGTGCCCGCGCAGTGGACCAGCCAGAGGCTTAGTGCCCGCGCAGTGGACCAGCCAGAGGCTTAGTGCCCGCGCAGTGGACCAGCCAGAGGCTTAGTGCCCGCGCAGTGGACCAGCCAGAGGCTTAGTGCCCGCGCAGTGGACCAGCCAGAGGCTTAGTGCCCGCGCAGTGGACCAGCCAGAGGCTTAGTGCCCGCGCAGTGGACCAGCCAGAGGCTTAGTGCCCGCGCAGTGGACCAGCCAGAGGCTTAGTGCCCGCGCAGTGGACCAGCCAGAGGCTTAGTGCCCGCGCAGTGGACCAGCCAGAGGCTTAGTGCCCGCGCAGTGGACCAGCCAGAGGCTTAGTGCCCGCGCAGTGGACCAGCCAGAGGCTTAGTGCCCGCGCAGTGGACCAGCCAGAGGCTTAGTGCCCGCGCAGTGGACCAGCCAGAGGCTTAGTGCCCGCGCAGTGGACCAGCCAGAGGCTTAGTGCCCGCGCAGTGGACCAGCCAGAGGCTTAGTGCCCGCGCAGTGGACCAGCCAGAGGCTTAGTGCCCGCGCAGTGGACCAGCCAGAGGCTTAGTGCCCGCGCAGTGGACCAGCCAGAGGCTTAGTGCCCGCGCAGTGGACCAGCCAGAGGCCAGTGGACCAGCCAGAGGCTTAGTGGACCCGCGCAGTGGACCAGCCAGAGGCTTAGTGCCCGCGCAGTGGACCAGCCAGAGGCTTAGTGCCCGCGCAGTGGACCAGCCAGAGGCTTAGTGCCCGCGCAGTGGACCAGCCAGAGGCTTAGTGCCCGCGCAGTGGACCAGCCAGAGGCTTAGTGCCCGCGCAGTGGACCAGCCAGAGGCTTAGTGCCCGCGCAGTGGACCAGCCAGAGGCTTAGTGCCCGCGCAGTGGACCAGCCAGAGGCTTAGTGCCCGCGCAGTGGACCAGCCAGAGGCTTAGTGCCCGCGTGGACCAGCCAGAGGCTTAGTGCCCGCGCAGTGGACCAGCCAGAGGCTTAGTGCCCGCGCAGTGGACCAGCCAGAGGCTTAGTGCCCGCGCAGTGGACCAGCCAGAGGCTTAGTGCCCGCGCAGTGGACCAGCCAGAGGCTTAGTGCCCGCGCAGTGGACCAGCCAGAGGCTTAGTGCCCGCGCAGTGGACCAGCCAGAGGCTTAGTGCCCGCGCAGTGGACCAGCCAGAGGCTTAGTGCCCGCGCAGTGGACCAGCCAGAGGCTTAGTGCCCGCGCAGTGGACCAGCCAGAGGCTTAGTGCCCGCGCAGTGGACCAGCCAGAGGCTTAGTGCCCGCGCAGTGGAGGCTTAGTGCCCGCGCAGTGGACCAGCCAGAGGCTTAGTGCCCGCGCAGTGGACCAGCCAGAGGCTTAGTGCCCGCGCAGTGGACCAGCCAGAGGCTTAGTGCCCGCGCAGTGGACCAGCCAGAGGCTTAGTGCCCGCGCAGTGGACCAGCCAGAGGCTTAGTGCCCGCGCAGTGGCCCGCGCAGTGGACCAGCCAGAGGCTTAGTGCCCGCGCAGTGGACCAGCCAGAGGCTTAGTGCCCGCGCAGTGGACCAGCCAGAGGCTTAGTGCCCGCGCAGTGGACCAGCCAGAGGCTTAGTGCCCGCGCAGTGGACCAGCCAGAGGCTTAGTGCCCGCGCAGTGGACCAGCCAGAGGCTTAGTGCCCGCGCAGTGGACCAGCCAGAGGCTTAGTGCCCGCGCAGTGGACCAGCCAGAGGCTTAGTGCCCGCGCAGTGGACCAGCCAGAGGCTTAGTGCCCGCGCAGTGGACCAGCCAGAGGCTTAGTGCCCGCGCAGTGGACCAGCCAGAGGCTTAGTGCCCGCGCAGTGGGCCAGCCAGCCCCGCGCAGAGCCAGAGGCTTAGTGCCCGCGCAGTGGACCAGCCAGAGGCTTAGTGCCCGCGCAGTGGACCAGCCAGAGGCTTAGTGCCCGCGCAGTGGACCAGCCAGAGGCTTAGTGCCCGCGCAGTGGACCAGCCAGAGGCTTAGTGCCCGCGCAGTGGACCAGCCAGAGGCTTAGTGGACCAGCCAGAGGCTTAGTGCCCGCGCAGTGGACCAGCCAGAGGCTTAGTGCCCGCGCAGTGGACCAGCCAGAGGCTTAGTGCCCGCGCAGTGGACCAGCCAGAGGCTTAGTGCCCGCGCAGTGGACCAGCCAGAGGCTTAGTGCCCGCGCAGTGGACCAGCCAGAGGCTTAGTGCCCGCGCAGTGGACCAGCCAGAGGCTTAGTGCCCGCGCAGTGGACCAGCCAGAGGCTTAGTGCCCGCGCAGTGGACCAGCCAGAGGCTTAGTGCCCGCGCAGTGGACCAGCCAGAGGCTTAGTGCCCGCGCAGTGGACCAGCCAGAGGCTTAGTGCCCGCGCAGTGGACCAGCCAGAGGCTTAGTGCCCGCGCAGTGGACCAGCCAGAGGCTTAGTGCCCGCGCAGTGGACCAGCCAGAGGCTTAGTGCCCGCGCAGTGGACCAGCCAGAGGCTTAGTGCCCGCGCAGTGGACCAGCCAGAGGCTTAGTGCCCGCGCAGTGGACCAGCCAGAGGCTTAGTGCCCGCGCAGTGGACCAGCCAGAGGCTTAGTGCCCGCGCAGTGGACCAGCCAGAGGCTTAGTGCCCGCGCAGTGGACCAGCCAGAGGCTTAGTGCCCGCGTGGACCAGTGGAGTGGACCAGCCAGAGGCTTAGTGCCCGCGCAGTGGACCAGCCAGAGGCTTAGTGCCCGCGCAGTGGACCAGCCAGAGGCTTAGTGCCCGCGCAGTGGACCAGCCAGAGGCTTAGTGCCCGCGCAGTGGACCAGCCAGAGGCTTAGTGCCCGCGCAGTGGACCAGCCAGAGGCTTAGTGCCCGCGCAGTGGACCAGCCAGAGGCTTAGTGCCCGCGCAGTGGACCAGCCAGAGGCTTAGTGCCCGCGCAGTGGACCAGCCAGAGGCTTAGTGCCCGCGCAGTGGACCAGCCAGAGGCTTAGTGCCCGCGCAGTGGACCAGCCAGAGGCTTAGTGCCCGCGCAGTGGACCAGCCAGAGGCTTAGTGCCCGCGCAGTGGACCAGCCAGAGGCTTAGTGCCCGCGCAGTGGACCAGCCAGAGGCTTAGTGCCCGCGCAGTGGACCAGCCAGAGGCTTAGTGCCCGCGCAGTGGACCAGCCAGAGGCTTAGTGCCCGCGCAGTGGACCAGCCAGAGGCTTAGTGCCCGCGCAGTGGACCAGCCAGAGGCTTAGGCGCAGTGGACCAGCCAGAGGCTTAGTGCCCGCGCAGTGGACCAGCCAGAGGCTTAGTGCCCGCGCAGTGGACCAGCCAGAGGCTTAGTGCCCGCGCAGTGGACCAGCCAGAGGCTTAGTGCCCGCGCAGTGGACCAGCCAGAGGCTTAGTGCCCGCGCAGTGGACCAGCCAGAGGCTTAGTGCCCGCGCAGTGGACCAGCCAGAGGCTTAGTGCCCGCGCAGTGGACCAGCCAGAGGCTTAGTGCCCGCGCAGTGGACCAGCCAGAGGCTTAGTGCCCGCGCAGTGGACCCAGAGGCCAGTGGAGGCTTAGTGCCCGCGCAGTGGACCAGCCAGAGGCTTAGTGCCCGCGCAGTGGACCAGCCAGAGGCTTAGTGCCCGCGCAGTGGACCAGCCAGAGGCTTAGTGCCCGCGCAGTGGACCAGCCAGAGGCTTAGTGCCCGCGCAGTGGACCAGCCAGAGGCTTAGTGCCCGCGCAGTGGACCAGCCAGTGGAGGAGGCTTAGTGCCCGCGCAGTGGACCAGCCAGAGGCTTAGTGCCCGCGCAGTGGACCAGCCTTAGAGGCTTAGTGCCCGCGCAGTGGACCAGCCAGAGGCTTAGTGCCCGCGCAGTGGACCAGCCAGAGGCTTAGTGCCCGCGCAGTGGACCAGCCAGAGGCTTAGTGCCCGCGCAGTGGACCAGCCAGAGGCTTAGTGCCCGCGCAGTGGACCAGCCAGAGGCTTAGTGCCCGCGCAGTGGACCAGCCAGAGGCTTAGTGCCCGCGCAGTGGACCAGCCAGAGGCTTAGTGCCCGCGCAGTGGACCAGCCAGAGGCTTAGTGCCCGCGCAGTGGACCAGCCAGAGGCTTAGTGCCCGCGCAGTGGACCAGCCAGAGGCTTAGTGCCCGCGCAGTGGACCAGC